CTTGAAAATTTCTACATCACATTGGGCTTGCGTCACCCTACCAGTACTAGTACTAGTTTTACCATTATCATTTTTAGATTGCACATGCCATGTGACATGGTGCAGTGTTACATGTATATCAGTGGAAATTAATTCATTTTGTGTTATAATTGGATTATATTTCATGAAGTTGACAGGACCTATGACAGTCGGTAAGTACAAGTTTAACTATAGATTGGGGTAAAATAAACCGAAATGCAAATAGTTAGGTTAAAGTTTAAAAAGGATCAAAGATCATCGGCAATCTTCTATGCAGAGTTGTCGTTCGTTTCTCTCTCAGACACTGAATGTATGACATATGTCTCTGGCCAATGGTAGAGAGTGGATCATCAGATGCCACAATAGACGAATTTCACATTCTGAAGAGTTATCTCCCGTTGTCGACATTACATTCAGTTATAGGCACAGATCCTGGAATTTTTTCCCAGAATTTCCTGAGGAGCAAAAAAAAAAAAACAAAAAAAAAAAACGAACAAACAAACAAAATAAAAACAATGATGGTGGGGTCCATGTTTTTAAAGGGGGAGGGCATCCAAAGTCATTTTTTATTTGCTTCTGTAAATCAGTATATAGTCCTATTTAAATAACTCTGCAAATTCCAGGGGGGGGGGGTTTCCAATCTCCCTAGCCGCTCCCTGTCCCTGAAATGACAAATGATCATGTGACTCCTAAATAGTAGAAAACTTTTCCATTTGACTATACATAATTTTGTTTCTTGTGTTATTATGTTATGTATATCTAATGGTTTAAGGTTATGAACCCCTGGAGGTCATCCCCACTCTCTTAATGAACTGGAAATGTTCATAATATGACTACATCAAATTAAATAAAAGTGCATCAATGATAAGATTACTTGACATTTCATTCATGAATTTGGGTCAACCCATGTATCCTCCTAGAATTAGGAATGAAAATCATTCAAAGAGATGGACCATTAAACTATCTGTATATATTCAGATTTTTTTTTATGTCAAACCAAAGTATTAGACTAGTTTGCATACATGAACAAACAGGGGTCTGGGAAGGGGCAAGGGGAAGGAGTTATCTCTTTACGTCTTAATTGTTGAAAACTCCTAAAATGAATGTTAACCTCAAATCCGACTTGTACGACTTCATTATTTTTAAGTGGTGGTGTCTCCGTATGAGTGAAAAATTCCCAAGAGGGACATTTAACAACAAACAAACATTAATGACTTAAAAAACACAATATACATGTACATGTTTATTAGTCAACGGATATACTTCTGATCATATCTCTAGTTCTCCCTTGAATCAGAAATGATGATATAAATATTTTAAGAATGATTAAGAGTTGAAAAGGTTGTGCATTTTAAAATTCACTAAGCTCTGTGGTTGAATTAGCTATACCAGTTTAGCTTATTTTGCTACTCAAAGCACCTTGATTAACAATTTTTAATCATACTGTTTTCTGAAATGTGAAGTTTTTTCAACATGGATACAAGTCATACCTTTTCAGCTTCTGAAAACAATGCATGAAAAAAAAAAAAAAAACTGCTTTTCAAATACTGTAACTCTTTCCAAGTACTTGTGATCATCAGTTTTTAGCTCACTTGAGTTTTTCTGGTTTTCTGATCACATTTTGTTTGTCATCCATCTGTCCGCCTGTAAACTTTTCACATTTTTGTTTCTTCACTAGAACCGCTGGGCCAATTTCAAGAACCACTGACACAATAAATTTAACCTTGGTCATAGCTTCTGAATAATAAGAGATAGGGCTTTC